TTGTGTGTATACTTGATATTTCTTCTTATTTGTGGATCGAGCCGATCGCCTCGGTATGAATAGATGCATCTATAGGCGCGTCGTCGACCCTCCGCAAGTGCACATTTTATTTCTGTTGGATCGGGCCGTCGCCTCGGCATATTTTTGCATGCTTATATAGCTTTGCCTGAGATTGTTAAATATTGGTACTGCTTTTCATGGCCCGAAATGCATTGATGATTGTAACTGTAGTAATTGATTAATCGGAATCCTAGCGAGAATATGACTTATATGCCTTGTTGTAACTGCTGCCTATTAAAGATTTTCATTGTTAAACTTATACTCATAATATTATCTGACCCTAGTGAGTATCAAGTCGACCTCTCGTCTCTACTTCTTCGAGATTAGGTGGGATACTCACTGGGTACATATTGTTTATGTACTCATGCTACGCTTCTGTACTTAAATGTACAGGGACTGAGGCAGGTGGATCCGGTTATTTCTCTGGTGCGCATTCGTGAGCAGGCTTGGGACTTCTACGGTGAGCTGCTTCCCTTCCATGTCGATCCGTAGCCGAAGAAGTCTTTCTTTTGTATTGTTATTTTCTGTCTATTCGGATCTAGACAGTAGGGTAGTGTGGTATTCTTTTGGATGTATATTCTACTAGTTGCCTGTAGCTTGTGACACCAGGTTCTGGCACACATTTTGGTAGACAATTATTTTGGGGTTGTGTAATCATATTATTACAGTATTCAGTTCTCCTGGTTTAAATTCCGATTTGAGTGTTATTTCACTTATTCTAAGTTAAAAGCAACATAAATATTTTAGAAATGTTTCGGCAATTGGCTTGCCTGACAAGGGTGTTAGGCGCCCTCATGACCTATTGTGAAAATGGGTCGTGACAATTATTACTCACTGGGTCGGAGTACTCACATTGCTCCCTGCACCATGCGTGCAGATTCAGGCATAGCAGAGTCCGCACCTGAGCACTGTTTCCTTCCAGACCAGGCAGCGAGTTGGAGTTACGAGGTAGCTGTTGACGTCCGCAGCCCCTTGTCTCCCCTATCTTACATCATTTATGTTTTCTTCAGACTGTTGTATCGGATATTACTCTTTGTAGACTGATAGCAAACTCTGTAGTAGCTCATGGCTTGTGACACCCCGGTTTGGGCTGTGTCGGGATGGTTTCCTTTGTTATTATCGCTGTTCCCGTTCCGTATTATTGATTATATTAAGCATGTGTTAGAATTGTTAGTGTTAATTAATTGCTTAAAGGAGGTGTTAGCGTTGTTCTGGCTGGCCTTGTCTTCACGAGAGGCGCCATCTCGATCGGATTTGGGAATTGGATCGTGACATAACCACCGGGCAGTGAGGATTATGAACTGTATGGGTTTTATTTTAATACATTCTGATTTTTCTGGGAGGGAACATGAAGAGTTGGAATAGTAATTGTTGAGACATTTTTTACAATTAGGAATAGGAAAGATGTTGAGCCGTTTTTTACAATAGGGAATAGGAAAAAGAGGGGAGTAGTAATAATTGAGACATTTATAAATAAAAATTAAGGAAAAAGTCAAAGAAAAAGGAGAAAAAAAAAATGGATTCTCGGTCAACGAGATATTCCACCTCACTTTTCTATTGCTTTTATATATATATATATATATATATATATAGGAGAAGCAAAGAAATGCTATGATGACAAGTGGCATAACTTTAAATTGACACATGTATATTTTTTGGACAATTCTCCAATTTTGTTGGAGTTTCAATTTCAAATTTAGTTAAAGAAAATGTAAAGGACACGTCCATTTTCAGAATTCAAAAATTTTAGAATTTTTAAATTTATTGAAAAAATAACTGATTTTAGATGGCACAACTACAAAACATACTGAATTTAAAAATAATTAAATATTAAATAGCAATATTTTTAAGAAAATATTTTATGTTAAACCGATTCTATTTTAAATCAAGATGAGAAGTTACCAACGCATATTATAACTCTATTTTTTTTTCAATTATTGCTATATTTTCTTCTAAAAGGAACCTATGCGCTCACATCCCACAATCTGCTCGATCTCAGTCTGAGTATTCGTGTGATAACTGACCGGAATCATATAACTGCTTTAAGATTCTCTTTAAGTCTAACCATTTTTCTTCTCCGATCAACACTCTGCTACGCCGTGATTCCACCTCCTTCGCGGGTACCTCTCAACTACAAAGGGATTCATAAATTCATTGTATGTATGTTTCTGTTTTTTGTTTATATTAACAGTGTCAACCGTTACCAGCATGTTTTTGTCTTGGCATTGTGAAGGGTGTCTTATCTTAATTCGAAACTTAAAAAGAATCTCATAATTTAAGTATGTGTTTGAACCCAATAATTGTTTAACCAAAACTTAAAATCCGTTGAATCCAAGGGCGAGAAAAAATCAATAAGGGAGAGAGTTTTACCGTCTATGAGAAATATTTAAAGGTAAAAAATTTCATGCTTACGTCATGTATCTCTGTATTAAATTAATTTTTTTAATTATTCTATAGCAGGCCTTATTGGGGTTTTCCCTTTTTGGGGTTCAGTTATATGATCCGGAGCAACATTCTATTGGATCATGGGAACAAAAGAAAACATTTTTTCTCTTCTTCTAGTATGACCAACTTATAATTAGAACTGCATCACAAGTCATTATTTTAATTGAAATATCTTCTTTCTATCAATGAGTAGATTATTTGAGAGATTAGAGGAAAAAAATTTGTAATATGTGTTTAATGCAAAATTTCAACTTCAAGACTCATATTATTTTTTGGAATAATTTGATAAGTTCAAAATTAATGTACAGTTTTAAAAGTTTCTATGTCGTATAGTAATATTTACAGTAATTTAGATGGTTGTGAAATCCTCGAGTGCAGAAAACGCGATGCTGCATTTACCTCAGTAGAACGCACTTGAGCAAAACAAGTAGGTGAAAAAAAAAGATGACTTTATTGATAAGGAATACTCTGTGGAATCCACTAATCATGAGAACTATTGCTCAAGTTTTTTTATCAAAGATGCCCGTGCCTGAATTTCTGTACTGCAATTGTTCTAGTTCTGGACTCCATAAAGTGACCATGTGGTTCTGTTAATGTATATTTTTGCTACCACAAAGTTAGAATCGCAAAGATTTGCAGGTGTTTTAATTAGAACCTCATTCAAACAGAAACCTAAACATGTTATGCTTGGTGCATCTATTCTCCACGTTTGCTCTAGCATTTTTAGATGCGGAACAATGAGACCGTTAAGTGTATAATCAACTTATTAACAGATAGAAAATAACTACTTAGATAATTTGATTTGGCGTACAATTGGGTTAACTCCCATTCTCCACAAGCTGGTTTTGTTCTTCGTCTATGCAATAGATTATAAAAGTTCTACGAACCATAATATAAACTGACCTTATCATGGGAAAATGATTAGTTCTTTGTTTTACTTATCAATCTGTCTTGGTAATGAACTAAGATGATGATGCTCCAAAATATTTTAGTAATCTTTTGATTAATTGTTCCTATTAGTTATGGGGATTATCTAGATAATCATTATTTCAGCAGCATAACTATTAAGGTGTACGTATTTTTTTTTTCACAATCAGTGTGCTTTTTCGGGTCAAATCGGTGTATTTTAGCGGGGCATTTGCATCTACACCCGCTTTTTGTGCCACATTTTAACTTGTGCCCGTTTTGCAAAAACAATTGCAAGCGTACCCGCTTTTTCACATAACTTCAGCACACGGGGCTGAAGTAGCAAAGGTAATCACGCAAAACTTCAGCATTCTAGTAGCCGGGGTTTTTGTGTTGTAACTGGAAAACTTCAGCTCTAGAGCTGAAGTTTTTGTGTTGTAACTGGGAAACTTCAGCTCCTGAGGTAAAGTTTTTGTGTTGTAACTGGGAAACTTCAGCTCTAGAGCTGAAGTTTTTGTGTTGTTATTGGCTACTTTTAACTCCCTCTCTGTAATGCATATAACACATGATACTCATCTTCACTGTTATGTTAGCTTTAAGCTTTATTTTAATGATGACAATGCAAAATTAATGAATTGACTAACAGCCGAATTACTTTGTGACAGTAGCCAAATCCAATCATCACGAGATAGATGAACTACAGGAGATGACATGTACAAGGATGAAACTATACAAGAATCTAGTCAATCTAATTCAGTATAAAGGAATAAAGATGATGTTAGCAAAATAAATTAAAAGAAGAAGAAAGGAGAAATTGTATGAGTTAAGAATAAGAGCTGAAGTTATTAACTGCTACTCCCAGGGTGAAGTATTGTTTCTGGGATTGGTCCAAAAAAGATTTTCGACGCAAGACCAATAAAAGAAAAATAGGCTCTACATTTTGTCTTTTGTCGAGAAAAAGAAAACGAAGGAGGAGAAGAAGGAGGAGAAGGGGGCTGAAGTTATTTAAGAAGTGGGTACAAGTTAAAAGTTTTAAAAAAATGGGTATAGATTAAATGGGGGCGACCAAATAGGGCGCCCCGTGCAATTTTTACTATCTTAGCTATTATTACAAGTATTTGCTTTATTTGTGTTATGTTACTAATCTTATTTATGACGGACCATTACTGTAATAATTTTTTAGGTAATGTATGCAACAATTACACTTAAATTTCAAACAAGATAGGATCGGCTATATGAATACTTAGTTAATGTGTTTTTCATTTAAATTCATGTTAGATCAACATTAAACAAAAATATAATTAAAAAAAAATTAGAAGTTCTCTATATTTATTACTGCCATAAGAATGTCTAATAGAGCTAAAAGGCATTAATTTCACCGATGATCACTAAACTTACTCTTTGTAACAAGGAAGTCACACTTTTTTGTTTGTTTTGTTGGTAATAGCAAATCACTAAATTGACTATTTGTATCAGAAAACTAGTTTTCATTAAGTTGTTTTGGTTTCGCTGCCTTCTCTATGCTTATGAAATAGCATCCATCTGAATTGGATCATATATATATGTAAACACTAACGATATATCTAAGTTAAAAAATATTTTGTGGTTTAGAAAGGAGAGAGTACAGTTTAAACTTTAAACTCTTCTCAGCCTCTCTCCTTGTGGTTGGAATTCAAAATGTGGTTATCCACTTTCCCAACCGTTTCAGTCCCTTCCCCTCTAACTCCGCGGGTAAGAGAAATTCTCTTCCGCAGCTCTTTTGGTTGCCAATAAAATGTTGATTTACGCCACTGAATTCTAGGGTTTTAAAATACCGCGCGTCTTTCACTTGCTTCACAAAATTTATTGCTGTTTTCGATTGATTTTGTGGAATATGGTGGTAGGATTTCAACTGGATAAGGTGTCAAGTGAAGAGAAATGTGAAGATCTCAAGAAATCTTAAATTTGCTATCAGTTGTTCGGGCGGGGATAAAGCTACTTCAATTGGATTTGATGTGCCGTTCCCGATGGACTACACTGAATTACTTCAACAAGTATGCTTCATTCCAGAAATCTTAGGAACATTTCACATGTGAAGGATGGTTAACTCAAATGCTAATAACTAATAGAAGGCCTACACACATATACGAGTTTTTGAAGCCGTTATTTCAAAGTCTTTGAGTTGAGTTCAAGTAACTGAAGATCGTTTAGTACACTGAAAATATAGGAGGATGAATTATGAACTTTTTTTTTTATAGTAAAAATAGATAACATACGGTGACGAGAATAAGGTGAATTAGTATAATGTGACTCCTTGGTAAAGTTACTACAAATGATTTTAATTCCATAGTAAATCTTAAGTAGATCCTATACCGATATCATTGGTTCTTCAGCTGCCTCAAGGCGTAAGTTGTTACGTTATCTGTTCGTGCCCATTACATGATATTTTTTTGTTCTTCCATATGTATGTTACCACCCTGATTTTTTACTATTTTAACTTTTCCTTTTCATGCATCCAATTTGGATAGTGCGTATCGTGTTGCTCATTGCATACTCAGTTTATTCACTTCACTTTCTTAAGTCTGTTCTGCTGTTGTTCAATCATAATTCCAAAACTTCACAACAGGCTAAAGAAGCATCTGAATTGGCATTGAAGGATAACAGGCAGCTGATGGTCAGTCAATTTTCCCTGTATGTCCTCAAGTGACAACACTTTAAAGAAAATATGGTATCCATACTTCCTCTGGACTTAAAGAGCAATAACTTTCTTGAACCAGGAAATTGAATTTCCAACTGCTGGACTGGGTTCTGTACCAGGTTATCCCTAATTGTCCTCCTTTTTTTGGTACTTTCTCTTGGTTTGGGCATGTGAAGATCGGTATAATCTACACTTCTCACTGATTTCCCATTCATGTCTGGTGAATTTACTCTGTTGTTTATCATTAGCAGGTGATGGTGAGGGTGGAACAGAAATGACTGGGAGTATGCAACTAATACGTGAGTTCTGTGATCTCTTGGTTATTCCAGAGAAAGCCACAAGGACCAGAATTGTAAGTCTCTGGATTTGATGAATTTTATAGTTTCACACCTTTATCAATCTTTATCTTTTCCAAATTATATATTGTGAGTCTCGAAAAACCTCTCTAGCTTACACTTAAAGAAAAATGTCAATGTCCTAAATTTCACACCTTTATCAATCTTTATCTTTTCCAAATTACATATTGTGAGTCTCCATCTCTCTAGCTGGTTATTGCTCTTTGCATTTGGTTTATTATACTTAAAGAAAAATGTCAATGCCCTATTTGAACACTATGTTTCCTTGGGGAAACCAATCACATGGCAATGGGTATATTTGGAGAATAAAGAATAAAAACCTTAACCGTAAAAGAAGTACTCAGAAAATTAGTGAGGGAAAACTGTTGCTTAATCATAAATTGTTGGAGTGTACTGCATAAGAGTATGAGCTTAACTCTCTGCTTTATACAAAATAAACCAAAATTTGGCCATTTGCAGAGTGCATCTCTCTTGTCTTCATGCATGAGTTTGGAGGTTGTTAATTATTGCTATCTCATTTCTTTCTATAGAAGCATCAATCTACCTTAATCTAACGTAAATTATGCCTATCCACGTGACCTTGATTTCTTGTTTCTCATGTAAGCTGTCATTACGACTAGGACAAGAAGCTGAAGATCTTTCTTAGTAATGTTACACAAATGGTGCTTCAGGATTCTTTTTCCTCTTAGTGTATTGCCCCGTAAGAGTTTCATCTTCTTAATCTTCAAAACAAGTGGTAATGCTCACAGTTTCCTCTTTTTTGTCCTCTTCTTTTGGTTCTTTGCAGTTGTATTCTCTTTGTTTTAGTTGAGACGATACTCAATCTACGCACGGCTTGCTGGTATAAACACTAATGTAGTACTAAGAACCCAAATTAGATTGTGTCCAATGTTATCTTTTTTTTCCTCAACTGATGCTACTAGGTTTCGTGGTCTTCAACTAGTGTAATTTCTACAGGATTACTACAAATCTTCATATAACCTATGACATGGATGCCAACCTTAGTGGTCTTGCTGAGGGACCTTAACTATGTAGTTGCTGCCTTTCTTCAAGAGTGGCTATATAGTTCTTGCCCTGGTTCTGTTTGTTGAAGTTTGCACTCTACATATTTGAAAAACTGATGCTCCTCTCTAAATCTTTTCAATCAGTAGTTGCTCACCGCTTTGCCTTTTTCTTCTTTTTTTCTCTTTTCCTAATTTACTTTCATGCCTGCTAGGAATCTTTCCTTCATGGTATGTCATCTGCTTCTCCGAAATTGGCTGCAAACTTGTAGTTTTTTCATATTTATAGTTCGTACATTTGTAAACCCCAAGTCAGCTAGACTTTAATTCTGGAGTTAGTTTTTGTTTTGTTTTGTTCTTTTGTTAATTTCTCCTCGTTCCTATTATGGTAGCAATTTTGTATTTTTGCGGCAATACTTCCCTGTTAATGTTTGTGATCACCTTTCCCATTAAGCTCTTTTACTCACCAGGTGCAATCTGTCAAACTTGCATTAAACCTTTCAGTTTTTCCCGGAGGCTAATGAGGTGAAATTTGCAAGACAATCAATTTTCGGAGGAGCATCTTTTAAGTTGGATTATTTGACAAAGCCTTCTTTTTTCGAGGATTTCGGTTTCACCGAAAAGGTCAAGATGGCTGACCGCGTCAAGCCAGAAGATGAACTCTTTATAGTTGCCTATCCATATTTTAATGTCAATGGTAACATCAACTCTTGCACCTTTGTGTATATCAAGTGATCGATTTAATAGAAATTTTATGATGACAGCATTTATTTCTGCAATATAGAGATGCTTGTCGTGGAAGGGCTATACAAAGCAGCTGTGTCGAACACTTCCAGGAAACTGATTATATTCAATGGAGAGCTTGATCGAATAAGATCTGGTTGTATCCTTCTTAGCACAAATTTTGATAGTTCTATCTGATTTCATATTCTTTTCCTGGTAACAAATATATTTATCCTAGTACTTGCTTTGCTTAAGATAACTCTTGTTTGAATTTAACAACTATTATTAGAAACTCACTCATACTTATACTCTTGAATTTGTAATATTCTTTCTTAATTCCGCTGAAAGAATAAAAGTAACTTGTTGAACCGGAAATAGGATGGACATTTTATTAAGTATTTTGTCGCTATTTTGAGTAAGATCTTAACAATTATTCCAAATTAAGGTATTGAATTTCATGCTATCTTTGACAAGAATAAGATTATCCGTCATTCTTCTATCCAAAGCTGGCTGCACTTTCCAAGACTCTTTTCCCTAAGATGGAGACAGTATATTATATTCACAACTTTAAAGGACGAAATGGAGGAGTCCTGTTTAGGTAATATCTTTACCAAAGCTTGGAACGAATGCTGAACTTAATGTTTCCACTATATGTTAGATTGCTTTGTTGTCACATGGGTTTTGCTTCTTTTCTTTGAAATCTTACTTTCTCCGTCTCTTGAAAAACAGGTGCTACCCTGGTCCTTGGAAAGTTTTGCGAAGAGTAGGGAATGCATACATCTGCCTGCATCAACAGGAATCAATGCCATCCTTGAAAGAAGTTGCTTTGGACATCCTTCCATCAGCATGATTCTCTGTGCTTCTACATTACATGGTAAGAATGTTCACTCTGCTATCTTTCTCCTGTAATTTGTGGGAATTTTTTTTCTTCATATTTGTGTTCTTTTGTGGCCTATGTTATTGCACAGTCAAATATTAAAGATTTAAGGGAATCTTACATAAATGTATCAAAAATAGACACTATTTACCAATGACTAGTCATTTTAGTCATGCTACCAAAAATAGTCAAAACAAAAGTAACAATGACGTACAACATTCAAAAAATATAGGCAAAAAAAGATTTTTTTTTCTATGGGCATTGTTGCGATTCGTTGAAAACACATATAAGATAATATACAGAATTTGAGGAAATTTGATGGTGAATTAGACTACTGTGGAGTAAAAATTCATTATCAATGATATAACAACAACAACAACAACATACCCAGTAAAATCCCACTACTGGAGTCTGGGGACATTATCAATGATATACAATATTAAAAAAAAATTAGTCAAAAAAGAATTTGTTTCAATGGGTATGGTTGGAATTCGATATTTAAGCAAGATTGGAGGTGATTTGGACTGGTTTGGTATCAAAATTCATAGTTAAAATCGAGTTTAAAAAATTCTTTTGCGGACACATGTATCAAACATGTATCACGCATGTATAACACACATAGGCATACATGGATATACATGTTATACACATTTGATACATATATGATGCATATGTGATACACAAATAATACACAGAGATGCACATATCATCTTTTTTCGAATTCATCTTCTACTTCGAATTTTCAATTCAAACCACCTCAAAACTCCACCAAATCATCCCAAAATTAAGACTCAAATTCCTTAAGATATACCCGATCTATTCCAGCAACACTCACTAAAAAAAAAGTAAATATTTGACATTTTTTTTGGCTACATATAGTTAATTGGCTAATCTTGGTAATATTTTATAAATTGACTAATTTTGGTAATAATTTACTTATGAGTGGACATAACCGGTAATTTCCCAAAAATTGAAACTTGAACTGAATACTGGTCTGTTGAGTTTTCTTTAATAGAAAAATACTGAAAACAAGAGCCTCGTTCAGAAGATTGCAATGTACTAATAATTATTTGCTAAATACAGGCACTACCCAAATCTTCTTGTTGTGTGCGTTCGTTATATGTTGCTAATAATCGGTTCGGGGGTTTGATATCAAACGGATAATATTTCATTAATTGTGTTTCCTTAAATGCCTTATTATACCGTGCAAACTGCAAAGTGTTATACTTTCTACATGTTCAGGATCTTGATTCTGCATACTACTTTTTATACGAATATTTGATTACAACATCATTGATAGTGGGTCAAAACCCATAATTAGTTAATCTCATTTTGCATCATTTCTTCTTTTTGTTTCGATGACTATCTAGTCCCACTGATTTAAGGGAGAAAGATGGGCAACCAGCCATTTCACCCTTTTCGCATTTAAAAAATCCCACGGAAAAGGAATAATGAGAATGGAAGAATGTCTGGTAGTGGTACTATATGAATAGGCTATATTGGGATTTGACAAGTCCAATACACAATTTAGTACACAAATAGTCAAAACGAAAGGATCGAAATATTATAATGAAAAGCAAGTCCAAGGATTATATTCAGAGAAAATGCATAAAGACCCCATTTAACTTGTCCCGGAAAATCATTTACACACCTAAACTTTACGGGTCCTAACACCCCACTATTGTTTAAAGAATTGTATTTATTTACTCCCTCCTAAGCCCTAGCCCAACTATAATAACTTGAGTGGGAAACACGCACTTTTATTATGAAGCCACGTAATTAAATTCTTCAGTAAATATACATAACAGCCTTCAAAACTCTCATTCACCCGTTAACCCCCTTAGTAAAAAATTCCCAAATTGAAGAACCCTAATGCCCCACCTTCAAAGATTCGATTTGCCTCACCAAAATCGAAGGGACCTGTTGCAAAATCCTTCGATTTCGTTGTTCCTTAGGGTTCCGTTTGTTCTCAATTGTTTCATTTGACGAGATGGTGGAAGACCCGTTCGAAGTTGAAGGTCTTTAAAGAATCAAGTTCAAACGTTATCTTTGTTTTAGTTTGGAGGTAAATACATCAACCCTAGCCTTTTCTATCATCCCTAAATGTTATCTCTGTTTTAGTTTGTTTAATATCATTCGTATCTAGGGTTTTGAACTTGCTTCAAATTTCTTCACTGTAATGTTTTCAATGTAAAATCGAGTAACAGAAATACAATTTTTAAGGTGTAATAATAACCAATTTTCAGCTTTTTCTTGTTGCATGTATTGTGACTTCTTTTGTCAGGGTCTAATAGTAACTATTAATCCTTAATTAGTTTATTTTCTACTATATTCAGGTATTTCAATGTCTTTTGTACTTGTTACACTAAGATTTTTTCATGGTGGAAAAATCTCCATGGATAAGTTACATTCCTTTTCAGTGGAGGATTATGTTGGTGGGATGATTACTGATTGTGTTGATGTCGATGTTGAATGTTCTCATATTTTGAGTTTTTGGGTTATATAAAAGAGTTTGGTTACAATAGTTCTTCTGCTGTTATTTATGTTAGACCACCTAATTGTCCTGGTTTGGTAGTAATTAAGGTTGATAGGGACCTTATGGGTATTTGTGAAGGGTTAAAAAGTGGGGATATTTTGGAGGTATATGTAGATCACATGGTTGATAAAGCTGTAGTTGTCCCCCCTCTATTAGATATGACAGCCAAGTGGGGGGTGATAGTAATGTTACTTTTGAGAAGGAATCTGGTCAAGATTTGGGGGGCTGTGAGGGTTTGAGAACCTCTGAAAAGGCATCCAATACTGCTGAAAATAATGCCAATAACAGTCTGCCTACAGCTATTACTACTGATGATAGTTCAAACTCCTCATCTGAATCAAACTCATCTGATTCTAGTAGCAGCACTGATAATAGCTCAGATTCAGAGCATGAGGAGTTGTTTGAAGAAGGAGAAGCTGATTATGGCAGTCATACACATGAGGAATACATGGCATTTAGAGCAGAAAGAAGGACTGTAGAGAGGAGGAAGAGAAAAGAAAGTGCTCCTGAACAAGAACATGTTAAACTAGGTAAGAGAGGGCCAGATGTGGGGTATGATGAATATGAATCTAGGAAGAAGAAGAGTTTAGAAGGTAAGATAGGTGGTAATGAGCCTTATTACCACTCAGATGAAGTTGCTAGTTTTGAGACAAATCCAGATGATGTTGATGATGAAGGTGAAGGGGAGATTCAACAGAAAGTTAAAGCTAGAAGAAGAAAGACTAAAAAAAGAGTAATCTTTGACATGACTTGCAAGAAAATAGTTTGGGAAACTGGACTTCCATTTGCAAGTGTGAGAAATAGCTGTAACTAAATATGCTGTTCAACAAAAGGTTTCTATAGAAAAGTATGTAAATGAACCTACAAGAGTGAGAGTTAAGTGCAAGAAGGCATCCTGTCCTTGGCTTCTAGTTGCTAGTTATGATTCTAGGATTAAGGATTTTGAAGTCAAGAACTACAATCCATTTCACAAATGTGACCCTACTAACAGAAACAAGCTATGTAATTCAAAGTTCTTGGCCAAAAGGTTCAATGAGAGGATAAAAAAACAACCTAACATTAGAATATTCAAGTTTCAGGAGTTGATTAGAAAGAAATTAGAATTATATGTTGGGAGGACAGTTTGTGAGAGGGCAAAAAATATTGTGTTGAATGAGATAATGGGTGATCATAAACTGGAGTATGGCAGAATATTAGATTATAGGGATGAGTTGCTTAGATCTAATCCAGGGAGTACATGTGTAGTGAAGCTTAGTGAAGAAATATCTGAAGGCGGGAAGAAAATGTTTGTTGGGTTCTACATTTGTTTTGATGCAATGAAGAAGTCATACATAGCTGGTTGTAGGTCATGCATTGGGTTGGATGGATGTTTTTTAAAATGGGTATGTAGAGGCCAACTACTTGTAGCAGTTTGCAAAGACGGAAATAATCAGATGCTTCCACTTGCTTGGGCTGTTGGTGAGATTGAAAATATCACACTTGGAGGTGGTTTTTCAACTATTTAAAAGGTGATCTTCAGCTTGGAGATGGTACAAATCTGACCATTATAATAGACATGCAAAAGGTAAGCACTTGTAGTTTATTGTTATTTTCCTACTGATGTTTCATTTAAAATTAACTACCATTGTTCATTTTGCAGGGGCTTGAGATTGCTATAACAGATCTATTTCCAAATTCTGAGCATAGGATGTGTGCAAGGCACATCCTAGCTAACTGGTCTAAGAAATGGAGGGGCATAGAGAGAAGGAACTACTTCTGGAGGTGTCAAAGGTCTACCTATGAGTGGGGTTGAAGAAAAATCTGGATGAAATGAAGAAATTGGGGAATAAGATAGTTGATGAACTGTTGTACTACAACATTGAAAGATGGAGCATGGTGCACACATTCTGCAAGTGTGATAGTGTTGACAATAATATGGCAGAATGTTTCAATGCTTGGATTTTGGCAGCAAGGCAAAAAAGACTATAATGACAATGCTTGAATAAATAAGGGTGAAGATAATAAACATAATAGGTCAGCTCAGGCAGTTTGAAAACACTTGGATTACTGACTTTTCACCAATGGCCATGAAAGTCTTGGAAGAGAACACAGAAAGGTCAATGAAATGTAACATTTTCTGGAATGGTGAGTTTGGATTTAATGTGAAGGAAGGATCAGGTGCAAGTGAAGTAAAGCATTTGGTGGACATCAACAGGCAAACATGCACCTACAGAGCTTGGATGTTAAAAGGCATACCATGTGCTCATGCAGTTGCTGCCCTGCATTATAAAAATCTGGAGCCTTTGAACTATATTTCTCACCAGTACAGTAATGCCACTTACATGAAAACATACAGTTACTTTCTTCAGCCTGTCATGGGATGTGGCCAGAGTCACAAAACCCAACTCTTATACCACCTCATGTCAAGAAGATGATTTCAGGGCCAAATAAGGTTAGAAGAAAAGAGCCAGGTGAAAATAAGATTGGAAAATTGTCCAAAAGTGGAGTGGAAATGACATGTAGCAATTGTCATAACAAGGGTCATAACAAGAGGAGGTGTCATAAAGCTGCTGGAAGTAATACTGTTGCTACTTCACCAAGTTCTCTGCCTGCAAGTGTTGGTAGTTCAAAGCCACCAAAGCAAAGTACTGGAAGAGGAAGGGGTACGCCAAAAAGGTTCTAAAGAAAAGGTGAAGTTCTTCCCTTTAATGTCTTATTTCTCTTTTTTAAATAATTACCAGATTCCTACTTTTGATTGGTTGATGTAGGATGTTGGTATTAACACTATTGTATGAACACAATATAACAGGCCAAGGATGGTTTGTATGGGAGTTTTACACACTCAAAGTGGCTTGAAAACTCAAAATGTAAGTTCTAACACAACCTCTCATATTTAGGTGAATTCATTGTCTGATTTTTTGTTGGATTTTAGTAGCCTAGAATGTCTTCTACAAAACTTTAAGAATGTGAGGTCTTCAACAGAAGTAATTGGAGATCTAGGCCATCAACCAACACGAGGTGTTAAATGGAAAGGTAAAGAAGCTATGACATCAAGGCATCTTGAATAATTGAGAGGCAAGAAACTCATTCAAACAAGGTCTAGGGCTACTAAGTTGAGCTAGGAAAGCACTACTGCATAACAACCCAATTGATCAAGATATTGTTTTGTTGATGAATGTTTGCAATAAACTGCATTATGCTAAAATTTTAAGCAGCTATAGACTGCAATTCTGTATTATGATAAGGATTTTTAGGTAGCTATATTTTGTTATCTTATGGTGTCTGTTTTGCTGCTGCTACAATGACAACAAACAGATGTTTTGTTATCTCATTTTGTGACTATTTTATTAAGTCTGTTTCTTTTATGTCAATGAGACCAAATATTTGTTTCAATACAGTTTATGCAACTGCCATATTAAGTCTTTTGTGTGTCTATTGTTGATTGCCAAGTTCTGGGCATACAACGAAACAAACAGAACACACCTACAATACAACACAATGTAAAAACAACGCTTCATTAGAAACAACAATTGATAAGTAACAACTACATACATATTGAGATGACAAAACTACAAAATATTGAGATGACAAAACTACAAAAGGCTTACATTCAAATGAAAGTTCCATTGCAAACATACAAATAATACCTACAAGCAACAACTACATACATATTGAGATGAAAAAACTAGATTCAAAATGGCAACCTCATTGCATCTTCTTTCAATGACATTCCTGGACTACAAGCAACAAGTATAATACACATCCCCAATATAATGAACCAAAGTACGTTTTCCCTAGCCTTGGACTTAGCCAATTTACTCTTTCACATCTTTTCATTCTCTTTCATCTTCTCCATATCAACTTGCAATTTCACCAATTGAGCCTCAATCTTCTTCATCTTGTCCCCTTCTATGGTGTTTTCAACCTTTAAAGTTGCCCTCGGCTTGGAAAGATTTTCAAAGCCTTCTAATGCATTCTCAATTTCACTCGTTTTGTCAAGCATTTTTGGAATAAAAAATTTGGACCTAGGATCAATTTCGGAATCCTTCCAAACCCAAAAATCACAAGATCGTGGACCCTAAGAGGAATAACAAAAGAAAATTAATCAATGATAATTTTTCACAACTCAATTATTGAAAGAATGTTCACTATCATTTACCCAATAGTATTGACAAACCCAATATCTTCATCCTGAGTTCCGAGGGGTCCAAACTGTTAACAAAGGCAGCACATAGCCATGGTTGCATCGAATTTCTCCACTTGACTCATTTTCTTCCTCTTCCGTGCAAAGCCTTGTCAAATTCAAGCCTTTTGAAGGCATTGCAACCAGTACAACACAAATAGACAATATCAAAGTCAGATAATTTGCATTTGCTTTCAAAGATCAGATAATTAGATTTTAGGAAAAGGCATAACAATAATAAAAGAAAGAAATTAGGGTTCTTAAGAAGGAGAAAGATTAACCTTTGCCTTCAAGATTAAAACTTAAAAGGGCAATTTGATGGAATTTTGGCAGAAATTAGAAGAAGAAGAAGAAGAAGAAGAAGAAGAAGAAGAAATTAGGGTTCTTCAATTGGGTTTGGTAAAATATTAGGGAAGAAGGGATTTTACCTTTGGTTGGGGGTTATATTACAGTTAAAAAAGTTCTTTTTTTTTGGTGTTTTCAACAATTAAAAGAGAGAAGGACGCGCTCAATTCGGTTGTCTAAGACGCGCAGCTGGCAGGGCTTAGGAGGGAGTAAATAAAAATAATTCTTTAAACAATAGTGGGGTGTTAGGACACTCGTAAAGCTTAGGTGTGTAAATGTGTCACGACCCATACACCGCTCCGGTCGTTATGGCGCCTCTCGTGAAGACAAGGCCAGCCAACCAATACATTTCGCCTTTTCAGAATAGTTAAATATTAATAAACAGTTTTAGCATAATTAAATAATCACAGTCTAAACAAAGATTTCTTTATTAAGTGCGGAATACAACCCAAACACAGCTCAAACCGGGGTGTCACAAGTCATGAGCATCAATAAGAGTGTAATTACAACTACAAGGTCTAAAAATATACTGAACAGGAATAGTGAACAACAGAGAGAGAAGCAGTGCTGCGAACGGTGGCAGTCACCTCGCTAAACTCCTATAGCTCCGCCTCCAATCAGCCAAAACCCGCTACCGGGTGAATCAATACCTGCATCTGCACACGAGGTGCAGGGAGTAATGTGAGTACTCCAACCCAGTAAGTAATAAGAGTAAATAAAGACTGAGCAGTAGGAAATAATAAATCCACATTTACGCTAGGCACAATAAACACAACAGGCTTTCAAATCATAATACGAGTCAATCTTCCCTTTTAAAATCTAGCTTTTAGAAAAAAAATCATTTTGAAATACTTCCAATAGTTTCGGTAGGGGTTCAACACCATTTAAAATAATAATAGAGATTTAATCAATGATCGGCCCCTCGGGAAAAGCATAGTTTGTAAAACAGCCCCTCGACAAAACAGTAATCATAAGCGCTTCATAACTTGAAGATCTCAGTGGAAATAACCAATGCCAAATCCATGATTAATTTTTGAACATCTCATAACCCCAGTTTAAGTAAAGTTGTTTTAAAACATTTATTCATCTTTCCGACAGAGGCTCAATATAAAGATGAGTGAAAGCAACTCGGAGTCAACAAATCCTTCGCCGAATCAACACATCCTTTGCCGACAGCAACTCGGAGTCAACAAAACCATATCGAGGCCGGACACATATCCATATAGGCCTACCAATGGACCACACATCATCTCTAGTTACCCCCAACCGATAAATAATCCTTCGAAGGTTCACAATGACCGAATCATAGCACATACTAACATCTGACTAACTTACAATCTCCAAGTACATAAGGCACATGAATTACCATATCTGATCCCAATTCCGCCACTCGCATACATAACTCACCTCTAGACTCAATCTTTCCATGGGATTTACTCTAAGAATTCTTCTGTGCTGCCAAGCAACTCGAACATCAGCAGCCGATCCGACAAGAAGTACTGCAATACTACCGAGGTACCATCAACTTAATCACATTGCCTCTTCTTGGAACATACACCCTCACCAAATCACCTCAGTCGGCATTACCATTTCCTCAATCATCTGAAGATCATTTCTCAAATCATCTGAAATTGCCCGTGCTGCCTAAGAATCTATGACCTTCCATTCCAATCTGAACATTGACCTTACGCATGCAATTCTCAATCTTACACAACATACCGCATAAATCGTACCACTCTAGGAATAACCGTGAGAACTTCATATCCCTTCTGAGCCACAAACATCTATGTACTCACAAGTCAAGAACTTTCCATGTCATTACCATGCTGATCCAGTCTACTATCAAGCTACTCAATCTATCTAAATTTACTTCTGATTCATCTTTAACTTGACATTCCCTCTTGTTGTAGCACCACAATTCCTCAACCCAGGTTTACCACACGAGGCCCATGCATAAATCCACACTGTCTAAGACCCATAAGCCGCTGAGTACTCTCTTATATTCCCCAAAAGCACCACATTCCAAAACACCTTACTCTAAAGAACTTCATGCGTATCTAAACGCGTTACCTTTATCTTCCTGATACTAATACATAGAATCCCATAATTAACATAGAAATACCACAAGTCTTGAACTCTTCCAATGAAACTCGGTTTCTAACCACATATACGACTTTGAGATACCCAATTGCTACATGAAGCATCTTGAACACATTAGAACCATTTTCGAGAGTCATTCACTCTATTCATACTGCACTTAGCCCGATCAACAGAACCGAACAACCAGCGCCTCATTGGCACTTCTAATACGCATCACATAACCTTTCCTTAGTCAAAAATTTCCTTTACTCGAGCCATCCTCAGGCTCAATCTCCGCAACCAGAACTGATTCACCACACGCCTCAAATCGGAACCAACATAGCACATAACCGAGCAATCACCTAATCAATAGCAAACTTCCCCACTTGGCTCGAAGCCATAGATCAGAATACCCTCAATAACTCATAACACTTATACTCTATTGATGCCACAATACCATAGTGAGATTAAACTCAAATCCTTTGAAAGCTTGTGTAAACACAGATCATCTAGTACTTGAATCCTCGGCAAATCTCGCACTCATTATTGTAACAGTTAAACCCATTTGCTTAAGCAACCCGAAATTTCAAATTTTAACACGTATGTTTCACTTACACATGAGATCTTCCAACATACACATAAGGATCACACCACTTCAGAACGCTCCGCAGGAGATAACCCACCTGCTTCGCCTCAATCTATCATTTCTCTATACCTTCCACCGTCATACACATTACCTAGTCACTTAGTCTTCCTGAGTCTGAACTCATACTGCAGCATGAAATTTACTTTACTCCAACTGGAGGACATGAAAAGATTCTTCACGCGCCCAAAACTCGGGGCCACACATCCGGTCACAATGGAAATCAAACACTTAATAGTTCATCTATCATCCAGCAGACTCCCTCGTCACTACCAAGTCATATAGATACATCTCGCAGTACTAACATACTCATCATATAGCTATCTAGACATCACTTCCACAAATAGGGACAATACCGAACATATAAGTTCAAAACACCTACTCACACAATCGACACCTCGGTTCTCAACCCATAGGTAAAGATCCGGCCTCA